AACAATCTATTTGACTTTTATTCATTGTTAAGGAGCTACTTAATGAGAGAATATATATACCCCTGGAAAGCAAAAGTTAGCCACTGTATTTTTGGTATATCGTTACTATAACAGCATATTTTTAAAATAATAATACCATATTCAGAAAGCGCATGAAATTCTCTACCACCCTGTATATTTATATTTTATTTTTCGCTTTTGAATGATTAACATAAATTGAGTATAATGAAGACAACTTGATATTCAGATTCCTACAGACATAATTTTGTCACTGTAGCCAAATTAAGTTTTTAAAATTTTGCGTCACCGTAGAACGAGTGTTTTGAAAGAGCAATTATATATTCTGATAGCACTTGAAATTCTCTATCTTTCTATATATTTGTTTTCAAATAATTATATTTGACTTTCAAGGTTACAAATCTTGGAGTATTTCTCTAATTAATTAATAATTGACAATTAGTTACTTAAACCAGAGATTAAATAAATACAATTTATTGATCTGATATATGACCCCAGATTTTCGAAAAATTATTCCTTGTGCCATGAATCACGATAAAATCTGATTTTATTTTTTACGATATGGGTGATGTTGCATGGTTATTTGCACAAATCATAAGAATCACTGTTTCTAACGATCGCAATGATTACCCTGGGATATCGCAGTAGAACGGCAGTCAGCGATAGCCAATCGTATAAGTATCAAACTACTGGGAGGTTTTTTATACGATTTGAATCATATGAAAATTAAAAACTTTGTCATCAGAAAAATTTGTAACTTTGCTAAGCTTGCCAATAGATGGCGCTAGAAATCGAAAAGTCACTTTACTACTTCAAAAATAAAAATAATTCAATTTAATCTTATTTTTTTATTTTATTATTAAAATTTAGATTTAATATTTAAGTAGATAATAATATCAAAAAATACTCTTGTCATAACAACTTAAAAACAAAATATCCGATAGGCTATCCATATTATATCAACTTTATTTCCAAAATCATTTTTAATCATTCATAAATAAGTTAGTCAAGTTCTTGTTACTATCATATATTTATCTTTCATTATTTTAGATCTAGTTTAAATAACAACTCCTTCAATTTGATCGGACGATCATGAAGTAAAAAAAAAAGAAAAAACTAATACATATTTTATTTTTATTAATGTTCATCTATATAGACTTGAAATTTGCAATTATAGTGGATATAAAATATATCCAGGTCATGGTAAACGTGTTGTTAAAATTGATGGCAAGGTTTGTTTCTTATATAAATAAATAAATAAATATTTTTAATGTTTTATTAGGTACACATTTATTTAAATTCTAAATGTCAACGATCAGCAGATATGCGTCGAAATCCTCGTCGTGTTACATGGACTGTTTATTATCGACGAAAACATAAGAAAGGTGCAGCTGAACAAGAAGTTAAAAAACGTACACGTCGTAATGTTAAATTTCAACGTGCTATAACTGGTGTTACATGGAATGAAATTCTTGCTAAACGTAATCAACAACCAGAATTTCGAAAAGCTCAACGACAAGATGCTATTAAGTAAAAT